TTGTTTGTTTGTTTGTTTGTTTTAATCAATTTTAAATCATGCTTTTTATTTGTTTTTGTTTCTAATGTCTCTGTAAAGCACTTTGAATCACCTTGTTGTTGAATTGTGCTATACAAATAAACTTGCCTTGCCTTCTACCACCAGTAGCAAAGCATTTTGTTTTCAATTGTTTCAGTGAGAGAAGATGCTGTGATTTACTTGAAGTTTTGGAGGAAACTGTAAAGTTGAACTTTTTTGTAATCGTGAAAATAATATACTGCATAGAGTAACAGTTTAGTTTTCTTTGTATATCCTGTCAGTTATTGTTCTGATAAGGAAAATTGGAATTGGCTAAAATCCACATCCTCAATTCAAAGATAAAAATCATAATCGGCCAAGAAAAATTCACTCAGTGCATCTCTAATATCTAAACTACAGCTAGACTGCTTACACATTGGGAAATGTCAAAGTCTTCCATTTCATAACTGGTATAATTTTCCTACACTAACAGATATTCTTCCTGTCAAATCAAAGAAATGTTTATCTTTATTCTCAAAGACTGAGCACATCTTATTTAACTTCAGCCTGCTGCTCTCAATGCCAGCCCAAATTACCTGACTGCAACTGATGCACTTCTGCAAATCCTTTACTCAAACCTCGGGAAATATCAGAACTCTCACTACAGCATGCGTGCCTTCTAAATACAGGCTTTTTACTTTTAATTTACCATCAGTCTAATTCCTCCTTTTAAAAATAATCTTCAGAAAACTGGGAAAACCTGTGGAGATTCCAATGCTTGAAACAGACAAATCTCACTCTTACAACAACTGTTTTCACTGATTTCAATAAACGGAGCCTAAAAAAGAAGCAGGAGATGGAAAGACAAGGTTTTGCATTTGGAATCTTGTAGAGGGTGTTTTTGATCAAATTAAATTGGATATTTTTGTTCCTATGCAAGTGTCCGGTTCTATAAAATCATGAAATTCAAAATGAAACAACAACTAGCCTGATTATTTTGTGATAAAAGCATTTTACTATTCTCTGTAAATGACCTTCAGCTTTAAGGGGGATCCTCCTTTAAGAGAAAATAATCTCTTTTTGAGACAAGATTGTTAGATTTATTAGCTTTCTTTAGTTTTCCTAGAATTCTGGAGCATCTGCAAGCCGCTTTGTCACCCAGCAGCACCTTTAGCGTTGCATGACTTAGAGTCATGTCTGCTGTCATTGATATCTGCTCTGTTCTGCAGGGAACAGTCTTATTATTGGTCTCCCAGCCTTAGTTTTTCCATGTAAGTACATATAAGCGCAGGAGGTGTGACCATATTGGTGGGAAAAACCTAGAAGAGAGTCGTCAAAGGAGCTTACAAAGAAAAGCGTCTGGACTTCTTTAAGTTAGAAGTCCAGACGCTTTTCTTTGCAAGCTCCTTTGACTACGATGACCTGGATGACTGAGAACCTTCACAGACTAGAAGAGAGTCAGCAAAGATAAATTACAGCAGAAAAAAAAATATTAATCTCACTTTATTTAAATTATACTTTTTTATTTAAACACTGCTGTGAGAACAGCCTTGACCTGTACCAGAATCCCCTGCAGTCATTTGACCAATCGAATGACTGTAGAATCGCTTGCAGTCATTTGATTGGTCATTTTAAACCCACTAAGTATTATGTGGGAGTTGTAATGTCATGAATTATTTCAAACTTTTAAAAGAAAACTGAGTCTCAAAATTTTAAGCACAATTTTCAAATGCAGGCTAAGATGTTGCCATTTGCACAACACATAACTTATTGCACTTTCTTTGGATGCCATATTGTGCCCAAGATGGACTGGGCTGTGAGAAAATAGAGTGCGGCATGGAAAGAGCCCACATGATCCTCCAAAGACAAAGCTAGTGTTTGAGGCGGAGGGATGCTTGCCAGCTTCTAACCCTAACACTGAATATATTGTTTTTCATATTGAGGACGATGACAGTATAAGCTGAAATATGTATTTCACATTTTGAGAGAGTGTAGGTGGAGAGATGGCGAGAGGGTGTTTGGAGATGTCTCTGCTGAGTCAGCACTCCTTTATTTTTCCCAGGGAGTGCCAGAGAGTTTATAGTGGAACTTCTATTTCTCCGCTCATTCGTCCTTTTCGACCACTTTTCCCACTTTCATCCATCATTCTATTACCCACCAGACCAAAAGTTTCTTCAGTTTCTTTCCCTTATATACTCCATTATAGGTCCTGAATTGATAAAAACTTTCAAGACTCCCACTGATCTGCATTGGATGGGTAGCAATCAAAAGACAAAACTAAACTGTTTATCTGGTTAGCTGAGACACCTGACGGACATTTCTGAGGGTCAGTCGGCTTCGTTACTACAGGCTGACATTTCTTGACCACTTTTGGGTTGTTGAAAGGACAAAACTCAAAGGACTTCTTCTAAGTAAGTTTGAAGTCCACATGTGAGCAATATTTTACATTTTCTTTCTTAACCCTCTCAATGCAGGCGTTGCAGATTTGCAACAGTTAAAAGCTAACAACCTGATTACCACACATACATATTTTATGAGTTGTTTTTACTCAGAAGTATCACTGCAGGTATTCTTTTGTGCATTAGCAACAAAAACTTAAGTTGAGCCTTTTTTTGTTTAGTTTTTTTTGGAAAGCTTTAGAAAAAGATCAGTTTGCTAGGTTGCCCCTCACAAGCATCGCATTTCATCACAATTTGCCGTGAAACCAGCGTTTGATAAGTTAAATCAATGTTTTTAGTTTTTATTTCTCAACACCGAACAATGTTCGGGTGCTCTTTTACACAGACTCTGAAAGGATAAGCTGTTGAATCCACTGCTACTAAAACTAATTTAATGCAACTTAGGGATCAAAGTAATTGTAATTCTGTTTCTAATACTCACCGCCTCTGAGTCAATGCAATCACAACAAAACACATGAACAAAAAAAGAAAACACTAACCCAACTCGATACTCATTCCAAAAGGGGGAGGTTTTTAACAAATCCTGAACAATCAATGTTTCTGAATCATTTGTGAAAGACAAGAAAATCCCTGCAACCAAACTAAGTTTGAAGAAAGGAGTGAAGTAAGTTTGTTGTTCTCTGGCTGAGAGTGAGAGTATGATGTGGTGAGCTCCAGGTGAACAGAGTCAGCCTAATCAAGTTTTTATTGATTTTTTTCTTTTTGACCCAAACACATTAATTAAAAGCAAGTTTTTGTCTTATTTGTCAGTTTTTTCTTAACACACATCAAAGGAAAAAGCAAGTTAAAACCTCAACGCCAATATTTTAACTACAATTTAAACATTACAGGGATGAGGATTAAATAGGATGTTTAAATAGTGAGAATTACTGAAGTTTAACGTACACAAAGAAAATTTCAGCAGCAACAGATAACGCAATTCAAGTTGTCTAAGATAAAGCTGTCAGAAACTGAACCGATAAACTAGTATCTATTTTCAGAGAGGGAAATACATAGTCAATATCAAGCACTGAGAACAAGAAATGTTTTGCCTCGCAGCAAATGGGAAATGAACAGCGAGCCAAGGAGAGGCAGACTTCATGCTACAGAAGAGAGTTTAGTGTTTGCAGGTTGAAAAACATTTTCATAGCTATGTGCTTTTTTTACACTGCAACACTTCCAGTTGTTCCAGCTGAGCAGCATCAGAATAATCATTTACAGAATAATAAAGAAAGACATATAATGTTATACTGCAACTAACAGCAAATCTTTACCCAAAGTGTTGAGGAGGCGGGACTTCCTGCAGTGGTAGGACAGTTCCTGTTCGCAGTGCTCTGACTGGCTGATGGCAGCCAGCAGCTGCTCCTCTTGAGATGAGTAGTCGAAGTTAACCGAATGCTGGGACACAGCCGGAGAGGGTCGCACTCGGGTCAGCTCAGTGTTGTTGTGCAGGAGCACCATCCATGTGTTTTCCTCTGGTGGGAAAGATGAGCGTGCAATTTATACTCATTTATTATTATTACAATAAAGCTCTACTGCAAAGTTTCTTTCCTAGAATGTGTACCATTTAAATACCATCTAAGTAGCCAGACTGTGAAATTAGCAATATATGCATGATGTAACTACACAAATAAGCCTGTGATGGAAGAAAGTGAAATGGATGACAATTATATTTCTGCTTTTTAGAAAATAGCACAGATTCAAGAGTCGTCTACTTTCGTATAGATATACCTCCATTTTGGTCCTTTTGTTTAGTGTCGTGGAGTGGCTGGAACTTATTCCAGTGTAAGATGCGTCATGCAGACAACCACAGACTCCCACATTCACACCTACAGCCAAGTTTGAATCGCTATTTAATCTGTCAGCGTACCCACAGGAAGAACAGGTGAACACAGAAGGACTCGAGCTGACCGGAGTTTTTAGCCACAAAATCTTTTGCTATGATGCAACAGAACTGATGAAGCTGCCCTTTCATGCTGGATCTTCATATTTTCCTTAAGCGCTTCGCTTTCGAGTTTACTGCAGCGAATCATCTGCTTCCATCTCCCGTGATCCACTACCATGCTCTCCTGTCAGAACAACCCGCTGCATGTCCTCCTTCACTACATCCATGAACCTCCTCTGTGGTCTTCCTCTTTTTCTTCTTCTTGGCAGCTCCATGTTCAACTACTGCTGTGCAAAATATCTACTATACCTTTTCTGCGCATGTCCAGACCATCTCAACCCTGACTCTCTAAATTTCCATTCAAACTGCTCAACTTGAGCTCTTCCTCTGATACTCACTTCTAATCCTCTACCAGGAGAGAAAGACAATCTTAGCATTTTCAACCTTTGACTCCGCCTCCCGTCTTTTTGTTAGAGCAACCATTTCCAAACAATATACCATAGCAGGTCTCACCACGGTCCTGTAAACCTTCCCTTTCATTCTTGCTACTATTCTTTTAACAAATAACTGCCCTTTTGATGCTACGTGGAAAAAAAGTAAAATGTCAAATTTTAGAAGCTGGAGCTTGGGAATGTTTTACTGGAAGAAACAGGAACAGATCAATCATCCAAATAGTTGATCTAAAGTATTTAATGGTCATTTGATCTTCTGCAAACCAGCCAGCTGATTCATCGGCTAAGTTTTGCAGTTATGTTTTGTTTTTAATGTATATTTGATGTATAAATGTAAAGTGGTGACATGAAGGCGCAATGGTTATCAGTGCTATTAACTGCTATAAATTTCCCAGTCCTTCAATAGTAAATGTTTGACCTTGTTTCCTAATGTTTATGTCTAACGCTATAATTGACGAAACATAAAAAGTAATACTTTTTTTTTTCCATTTCTTTATGAGTGGGTGATTTCAGCTCAGCTCACTCTGTGTGTGGATTTTTCATGTTTTTCATGCTGCTTCCAAACACATGCATGTTAAGTTAGTGTGTTACTCCTATTCTTAGTGTTAGCCTTGCAATCGCCCAGTGACTGATCTAGGCGGTAAATTTTCACTTTCCGTCAATGAGTTGGACAAAGATAGAAAAGTAAAAACAAAGAACTAAGTAAGCATGTGATTCAGAGAAAGGTAAAGAATGTTATCAGAGTTCATTTATATGATTACACAAAGGGCATGAAAGATTGAGTGAAAGAGAAACAGGAGGAGAGGGAGTGATTGAAGTCTAGGATGAAATAAAAAAAGATGAAGGTGGACAATAATGGGGATCTGGGTGTGATAAGCGGGGACATCATTTAAAGTTATGTCATCATCTCAACCATAAAAAAGGTTCAGTGATGATGGGAGGCAGGCAAGGTGTAAAAGCATGTGTGAGTCTGTGTGTGTCACCTGTCATGTTGCAGTAGACCAGCTGTGGTTTGATCGGTCCGCTGCCATCCACGTCAATATAAAAATGTCCTGACGTGTTGCCGTTGTGTTTGTATGCCTCGCAGGACTGTTCGTACACAGCTGGGAGGAAAATAATGAGAACTACATCAACACGCTGACCCACCGGAGCTGCGAGGGGATGAAGATCACACACTGTGGAGGATTACTATGCTGTGGGTGCTGCTTCATATGTATGTATCACAACTGAATCAAAGTCATGTGATCAGAGAAAAAAAATAATCGGAGGTTCCTTTTCTGCACCGGCATCCCATAAACTAAAGTTTAATCCAACTGGAGATGACAGTAATGACTGATGGGAATACACAGCCTCAATAAATTTAACTTTATCAGACCTTCTCACCTCTTTCTCTGTGTCTCCATAAGTCTTCCTCTCATCTCCGTCTCAAGCACGCAACAGTACATCTTCTGCAGTCAAAGATTCAAATCCATATCTGAAAGTTCCCACACTCTGCTCTCCTGTTTATCTCGCTTCTTCTCCACAGCTAAAGGCTTTTTATTCCTCACACTCCCCGAGTGTGGTTAGAGACCAGTTTTCAAAGAAACATCAGAAATAAAAATGAGACCATAGGTGAACCGTGTGGGAAACTCTCCTTGTTTTAGTCTCGAGGATTTGACTCGAGGCATTCAGCACACAGCCACTAAATCTCACCTGCAAGCTCAACTCACTGTCACGGTTTTATTTATTTATTTATTCCCTCTTTGGTATTTTAGTCACAGCTACAGTCTCATTAACCTCCATCATATCACCTTATACACAAAAAGGCATTATAGAGAGAAAAGATGTGCAGGTAATAAAAACAGATCTCAGGGGACACCTCATTTAAAGTTTGATTCCATAATAAAGATTTATGGACATGCAAGCAGTCAGAAGACCACACAAGAGTTTTCATCTTCCTTCAGATAAACAATATTTTCTAAGCAGGTATTTGTCAATATTTATTCTCTAACAAATACTTATATTAATTTTAAATTACATACTTTTATTCTCAGACTCTTTCTACAGCAGAGTCACAGTTGAAGATAGTTCTTATTTGTCTTATTTTGAGCATTAGTGCAGTTAATGCACCATCAGAGACAAGATGCTCAGCTCTCTTCGACTTTCCTTCAAGTGATCTTTCTTTTGGCCGGCTGAAAATCTGAATGGCAGGCTTCTGGGGCTTCCATACTCATCACATGTTAGTATGTAACAGGTGAAAGGATTGTAAATAACACAAATCAGGTGTCAAGAATCAGTGCTTTAAACCTGGTCAGCAGGAAGCGCCTTCCTGAGGTGTACAAAGTCTGTTTGTATAGAGGTCTATGGGGAAATGACCCTCAGCTTTCTTTAGTTAGAGTCAAAAAGGGGGATAATGTAGGGTTTACTTCAGAGTGGGCCTCCCTCACTGACAAGTGGTACCATATGAGTGTGCAGGAAGTAGCAACAGCAAAAAAAAAAAAATCAATTACATACATAGCTGTGTACCACCCTTAGAGTTTACTTTGGTTGTCACACACAATAGCGACAGGAATCACAGTTTTGTGTTACCAATGTAAAATGTTGGATATAACTTAATATTGTAATTAACTTAATAATTTTGACTGAACCAACCCACCCAAGGCATTTTTAATTGATTTTATTTGCCATTCCCCTTCCCTGTTTTTCCCCCTCCTAGTTAAAATTATTCAAGATGAAAAACATCCTCATTATCTTGCTTGACACGCTATCTGTTCCTCATTTGCATTTCATCTGTCCCTCTTACCCCTCCCCCCATCTTTCTCCATTTGCCCTCACTTGTTGTACTTGTCATGTGCTGATGTTTAGCTGTCAGGTGACTCACAGCTGTGGCAGGTTGCTCCGCTGTAGCCGGTGTCAGAGCAGTTACAGTGAAAGACGGTCCAGGATTGGCTGCAGCGGCCACCGTGTTCACAGCGACTGGGAGAACACCTGAGAGAGAGAGAGAGATATGTATAAACCAGGGGAAGAAATCCCAGTTTCCATCACGTTTTTGCAAGTAAAGAGACCATATCAGCAACAGGAAAAAGCACCATGCTGCATTCATTTTGATTAAAGCATTTTAATTAAGAGCAGACTGTAACGTGTAGCTGGAGAGAAGATCCTGATGCAGGATGCAGATGCAGACAATACTGACAAAAAACACCCCAAATGACCAATTGGGAACAAATGTTTTTTTTTTATTGTTATTTTATGTTAATTCAATAAGCAGAAAAAATAAATGAATAAATAAATAAACATAATCGTGTGGAACAGTAGGAAACCCCAGAGAGTGCAAACAACAATCTGACAAGGACAAGGGGAAAGAAAGAAGGGAAACACAAGTGAAATCAAACGGGAAAAAAAGACAGAAAGCAACAGAAGCAGGACGTGAAATCACTACAAAATAACCTTCAAAGCAAATCACAAGACAAGTAACTACCATTAAGACACATCTAATAACCAAACACAGAAAGAAAAGAAAGAAAAAAAACACTAAATGAATAAATAAACTAACAGATCCCACGAGAACCATGACAAAGACTAACAGAACAGCAGCACCTTGAGGAAAAAGGAACATAATGTGTTTCTGCTGCTGATCTAGCAACCGAGCATTTAAGTGTTTGCCTTGTAAACTTTACTTTTGTATGGAAGAAATAAATGACAAAAAAAGATCATTTCAGTTTGACAGTGAAAAATAACAAGATTAATGTGTTACATGGGGATCTACTGTGCTTTTCCCCCATTTTCTGCTGTATACTGTCACAGATATTATAAGGAAAATGGTCAAAGTTTCAAAATAAAGGGGTCAGTTTCAGACAGAATTTTTTTTCTACTATTGATTCAGTTTGATGTCAACAGTGATCAGAAATCGTTTGCTTTTGTCTGACTAATTCTGCTTGAGACTGTTATTATAACCCATGAAAAAAAACATACTTATATATATGTAAACTAGTATGTTTTCCCTCCACACAGTATTTTGTTCTGCAGCAGTGTAAAACACTCATCAGACCATGCCACCTCCTGTGAGTTATAAGAGCAATTTAAAGGATAAATGAATAATCTGAAGATAGCATACACATTATTATACATTATATACATTATTCACAGACATAAAGAGTGTATGGAAAATAAATCTTTCCGAAGTATCAGTGCAGCTTGAAGCTGATGTTATATTAACTGCACCCAAATATTCATTTCAATGCTCCTCTAAGGCTGGGGAAGTCTCCGAGTTAAATTATTTACATGTTGTTGTATAATGTGTGCCTTGGTGTCATTGTAATTTACTGGCATGTAAATGCACTTTGAATCTTGGCGTCACAGATCAAAAGCGTATATTGAGAAGAAAAACAAACAAACATAAAAAACACCATCATTAAACTAGCTCTGCTTCAAAAAATTCACCTTTTCATTTCACAGAGGAAAAAGGGTTTTTGCAGATGTTCGAGGTCATTTATCCTAAGACTCTAAATCCACCTAATGTGCTACTAAACAGCAGTGAAACGACATAAAACTTTTCAATCATTTCCAGTATCGGTTTTTGTATTTAGGTACAATCTGAGATGTTGCTGGGTTAAAAAGAAATTGACTTCCTTATGCTTAATGGAAAATATCCATTGAAATACCTTTCCTCTGTGATATCAAAAGAATAAATTCATTACTTCACAGACTCGTGCTTTAGATTTTTCTTTCATTTTATATAAAAGGAAAGGTTTTCCAGTGAACAGAGGATATCTTTTCGTTTCTTCTCAGCGGCAGATCTTCTCTGACTGCTGCAAGACTGTTTGAAGAAGCTCCATCAATGACTCCAGATCCCAGGAGACTTTACTGAAGCTATGTGTGTTATTTATAGATAAATATCATACTGCTGTAACCATCATGACACCAATCCTGTGAGGGAGGAGGAGGGATGGAGTGGACTGAAGGAGGCAGGCAGAGACCGTAAAAATCTTAAGTTTCTGCGCTGGAAATGAAATCACTAAACTCCGACATTTAAAAACTCTGCTCCCTTTGACGTGTGCTTTCCCCTTCCCCTACATTTATATGATCTACAGTGGATATGTGTGCACTTTATAAGAGAGTTATAAACTGCCTGTGCCATGACAAATATTGTAGAGACTGTAATCATATTTACAACTTGCGTCAATGACTCCAGATCCCAGGTTTTTGTTTGTTTGGATCATCGTGCTTTTACAATTTTTCCCTGACTTGTTGTTTGCAATGTTTGCAAATGTGACTCGTGATTACTTTCTCCACTGTGGGAGATTTGTTGTGATGAAAGGCAATGTGTAATTTATTATAATAAAACAGAGCAGTTTGTTATTAGAAAGCAAACGTCCACAACTGCGAAGAGCAGAATATTTTGTCACATGATGGTAGAAGGTAAAGGTAAGAAAACAAGTGAACGTCACTGTTACGTTCCCCTATAAAGTCCAAGGGATGTGGTAAAGTAACAAAAAATATCCAGCTTAAAAAAGTCGACAAGGAGGCAAAATTGTTAAAGGTTATTTAATTTGAATTGATTAATAAATCAAAAGAGACAGACACGCCGCTATCAACTTTTAAAGAAAGAAAACAAAACCCAGGAGTTGGTCTCTAAACTGAAAAGTCACTGAAACACACTCCTCTCCACAGAGCAGGAATATACAGCCACCCCACACACAGCTCACTAACTGCAAAACCAACAAGCCTCTCTGGCACCAGAGCTCACCTTTTCTCTGGACTTAAGTGCTCCATCTTAATTGCTGAGTAGAATCAGCTGTGCAAAAAGGGTGGCGCCTAAAGCAGGAGAGACGGCAGGAACATCCACACAAGGCTAAATTCACACGAAGCCCTGCTGAGGCTGTAACAGTCGCAGATAGAAAACTATGTTCTCTGTTTGTCTGAAGATTTTCTAAAGCGCAACTGGAAGAGAAAAACGTTGTCGGCAACCATTAAATGAGCAACTTGTGAAGTCAAAATAAAAGATTACTTCAGCTGTGAAATAATCCTACTAACAGTTAAATGATCATGTTTTATGTAGTTATAAAAACTTGCTCTTAACTTTTATTAATTTAGTTTCTCTTTGCTTCTAAGTTCTGTGATAAGTTTTACTTTTATGAAAACTCAAAAGGCTGTACATCTTTCTGTATCTTCTTTGTGCGAGGCTTCGTTTTGTTTTATTTAAGCTGAAAACACAAATCAAGGCACTAATTGCTCTTCTATTAATGACGTGGCTGAAATGGCTGAATATGTCATTATAATATGTACTGTGGCATAATCCATTCTTCTGGGTATTTCTGAACTTCTATCAGTTTATACACTACAGAAACATTGCTGTTGAACACTGCAGAAACATAATTCATACTTTTATTTGTTCACTGGCCCTGAGACTCCAACTCAGATATTTTCAGTTTCCACCAAAATGTGATGGCATGACTGGGACACAGTGTTGTTGCCATGGTTACTCAGGAGGTTACTGAATCAATAATCCATGAGTTGTATTAGAAGGTAAACAAATATGTAAATCCTCTGTCTTATTTGTCTCTTCACTCTGTTAACATGGCCCATAGATTATACCCAGATTATGTTTATTTTCCATAAATTGCACATAAAAGATGAGTATAGGCAATGTGACATCATGTATTACTGTGTTTAAGCCTTAACACTGGCATTTCGGCTGTTGCCATCTTGTTATTTTGGAGCCAGAACCAACCTTATTTTGAAAAGACAGATGAGTGATAAATTACCAACTGCTCCACAGAATGTAAAGTGTAACACAAAGACACAGATACCCATTACAAACTTTAAAACATAATACCAGAACGCTGATAAAAATTGAGCATAGATTTCGAGGTCCAGTTCACTGACAGAAATCATTGAGTTGACGCAGTTTAGCCTGTCCTGGCACCCACGTGTCACTCAAAGAGGACAACACTCCAAAACTGCATAATTTTAAGTTTTAATAGATCAGTTGGGTCACTTATGTAAACCCTGGATAAAAACGTGTTTATTCCACTTTAAATTTGGGCATTTTGTCATGCGACCTCTCATGGACTACCTACGTGTCCAGGCTGTACCCCTGTCATTTACTCAATGGCGGCTACGGCAGGGTCCAGCCCTCCTGAATCCCTGAATTGGGTAGGCGGTTGAGGAGAGGACTAACGTTAACATGGGAGTCTAGAGGGATTGACTCACCTTTGAAACCAGCCTGAAGTGGCCATTTAAGGGCCTGCATTTTTTGACATTTTCACACAGACTCTATTTTTCCAGCCCCACAGGTTGATGGTACCAACCTTTTTTGGTTAATAGCGGTATATGCAGTGATATAAACTTTAAGAATAGTATTAGTGGTGTTTTGCAATTAGGTTCAATTTTCAGCATTTTTTCTCAGCTTGCTTGAGCATTGTCTGTTTGTATTTGTTACTCTGGTGTGTTGAGCTCTCAAACCACTGCACAACAGCAATCTTTGAGACAGATACCTCAAAAACTGTGCTGTACCTGAGAGAAGTTAGAAAATATATGTGACAGATTAAAATAGCCATATAAGCTGCTGTGTCTCTGCTAACCCACATAAAGGAGTAATGTGACCTCATTCTCTTGAGATAAAGACACAGAGAGGACAACAGGAAACGATGAGTAACAGTGTTTTTATCTACACCGGTTGCTTTCCATCTGTTCCACGACCGGCTGGCACCTCCAGGAGGTTTGACACAAACACAAACACACACACACACACACACAAAGACAATTTTAAGTCAGCGGTGGATGCAGCGCTCGGCAGTATGTGCAGGCTTTGAGCAGTGTGTTTTTCTCTTCTATCCTAAACGTACATTTCAGTGTGTGAGTTTACTTATGTAAATGTATGTGACAGTGTTAAACTGTGTGTTTGCCCGAACACAGGCAGAAATATTTAAGAGAAAACAGATGACTGCACAGAATCTGCAACCTCGCCTTTATTTAGATAAAAGCCC